AGCGAGTTTTTACAGTAAGGCCGAGAAAATACAAATTTTGTTTTTTTTGTAGTCAGGAAAACGAACATTAGTTATTTAAAAAGTTGTACCACACGGCTATCAAGCTCCTGGTAAAATATGGGGCCGTCTGTTCGACTATAGGGCACTGTACGTCGCAATGAAGTTTTGGGGTGTAATATATGGGACAAAGGGTGTAGAAAAAACCAGAGAAAAAGCGGTGTAGAAAAAACCAGAGGCGTACGTTCTCACCTGTACGGAAATACTTACGAATTAGCTTGATTCATAACATGATGACATCGTGAAATGGTGAGATCGACGCTGACAAACCACGGTCACCAGCAGCCGTGCTTTGATTGTGACTCAGGCACACGCATGGAACTCTTGTGCAAAATTCGTTAAAAATCTGTTTCCTAGATTGGTACGTTCTTTACGACAACAAAACATTTATTACGTTTTCCGAGACAGACGTTTCATATTTTGTAGTCAAATATTGAAACTGATAGGACTGCATACTTTCATAGATAAGTATTTTGTTCGTAGTCAAGGGTCGAGCGTTGCTTCAATGTTGGACAAAAACTGTGAAGCGCAAGCACATCTGCGTCAAAAGTATTCGATCTGCCGTACGAGCCGTCGGAATGACGGCCGGATCCGACATTCTTGCTCGTTCTGTGACGTCGAATCGGCGCTCCCGCGCGGGATCGGCTCGCCAGGCATTCGTCGCACGGCGGCCCGACTGTCGGGCAGCAGAAGCCAATGGCAGTCCGGATGGCGCAAACGTCATGTTGACGTCTTCTGACGGCCGGGTCGAGCGGGATTTGTGGCGTTGCACCAGGCATTTTCTTTTAAAAAAACAACAACAACAAAAACGCATGTATCTTATTGGCATGTAGTGCACGCCGAGGCAGACATGTACAAGTTACTAAAAAAAGTACTTAAGTTAGCTTACTGAGTATTGGCCTCAAAAGCAATTTGAGTGAGTAGAAGTTACTCAAATGGAGACTAATTGAGTAAATAAATTATTAGCTACCGTAACAAAGTAGCAAATTATTTTTGAAGTTTTATATTTTTATAGCAAGAAGAAAGTATATAAATTTTTTTATCTTTAGCAAAATTCTGCTAGCCAAATATAAAGCGGCTTGAGTTTTCACATAAAACTTTAATAGCTGGTTCCGCTTCTGTGTGATTCATTGTTTCGGACTTTTTGTTGTCTGGTTAATAATGCACTGCGAATGTATGATTTCTACTTTCAGGTTTAGCACTGCCTGAGCTTGATTTTGCAGGCAGTGTTTGCTTGCTGAGAGTGTTGCGTAAAACACATCTAAAAAGTACTTGAAGTACAAAGTCAATTAGAGGTTCTGTACCATAATAATCTTAAAGGGATACTGAGCCGAAATTCCGAGCTCACTAAACAAGGGCGGGCGGATAGACGGGAAGCTGCAAAACCAAAAAATGTCACTCATACGGCGATATATCTAACGGATCGCCGTATTTTCTGGAAAAGAAGTGCGGGATTGAACCCGGCCGACGAGGCCGACGAGACAAGGCACGTCACGATGCCCATTCTCTCTCCTCCTCGCTACGTCCCGTCAAGCTGGCTAACCGAAGCGAGGAGGAGAGAAGCGAGGCCGCTTCTCCTCATTCTCAAATTCTCCAGGAGGACAGTTACGTCAAAGAACTCGCTTGATCGCGCCCTTCATTTTCAAAAGTGTGGCCACCCGTTTGAGATATCGATGTACGAGTGATGTTTTGGAGTTTGTAGCGTCCCGTTCAACACTTCTGCAGCCTTACTTTGCGAAATCCAAATTTCGGTCCAGTATTCCTTTAAGTACAGCAGGCGCAATGTACCTCAAATCAAAGTTTCAGACAACCATCAAGGAATGCAGTTGTCTGGAGGCCGTCACAAAAGGCATCGGCATGCCCGACAAAGCGACAGCCTCCCCCCCCCCCCCCCCCCCCCTTCTCCACGGCCAGACAAAATGAAAGTCTCGGAGGACGAAAACTACTTGATCATGAAAGATTCAACATAAAATCAAATAAGCAGTACAAAACACTGTATACAAAGAAAAAAACAATGAACTAAAACCAGATTGTCCCCCACGTTGGACAAACAACAATGACGCACATCAATTTTCAGGCCTGCACAAACACGGCAGACAAAGGGGCCATACACAACAACATAGTGCAGCCAGCCAGCGATCTCTACAGAGATATTTCTTTACCATTCTGATGTTAGCCTGAGACTGAGGCAGGAAAAGAGGAAGTTTCAAAGTAGAAGAAAAAGGAACAGTCGAGGATACGTCTATAGAGACGTATCCTCGACTGTTCCTTTTTCTTCTACTTTGAAACTTCCTCTTTTCCTGCCTCAGTCTCAGGCTAACATCAGAATGGTTAATTTCCACCAGCTCGCCTGCGCACTCACTACAATATCATATTTCTTTGCGCCGCGGAGAAATGCTGCACAAAAAACAACATACACGCACAACAAAATAAAAATAATAATAAAAAACTTGTTATTTTTGAAGGGACAATAGATAAATATTTATGTTTTTCGTTAAAGCTTGTATAGATATACCTTTCAGAATAATGGTCATGAGATCAGGGAGGTCATTCATAAGTACATGTATTTGATAATCTAATTTTTGTATGCCGTAGTTCGTGCGTATTTCTTGATATCTGTAGCTCGTGTGCCGAAAATTGTATAGATAATCTTTCCAAACATATGTACTAAAAAAGACAGTTGGTTCTAATTTGATATGATTAAAAATTAATAAAGATAACTGCTTATCTATAAGATTTTGTAACCTTGTATGATGCCCGTTCATACCTTTTTTTTTTTGCTTTATTTCATCTTGTATGGATTGCTCCAGGGGTAATCGGAGGAGCATCAGTTTTTTTTGTTTTTTTTTTCGGAAATCTTAGCAAGTATTGGATAAAGTCAAGTCGTCAGGTGTAGTTGTTTAACTCTCGCTGACGAACGATTTAACACAATACACTTGTAAGGCACTCATTTCTTATCGGTCTTATAGCCTACATTACTTCACTCAGAGAAATGACCAGATGACGTCTCGAAAGTCGACAGCGCGTTTTAACATGAGGATACCGCATTTTTTGTTTCCAAATTTGGGGAATGTTCTTAAAAGTCTGGAATTTTACTTTCTTCAGAAATCACAAAAAAATATATATATTTTAGTAAACTACAATTACATTCTCAGAGAATGTACTTCAAGTAAATTGCAAGTTTTCGAATCCTACTTAAAATAGTACTTTAAATAAATAAATAGTACTTCCCACTCGAGCTTTTTTTTTAATAGATATATTGTTTTGTAAAAAAAGTTGTAAAAAATAGTTTTGTAAAAACGTATCGAACGATCTTCGAATGTTGGAAGACCTACATATGCTGAATTTTGGGAGGAAAGGCAACGCAAAAAGGGCGCCTGTGCGTTCCCCTTTAGCACGTGATTCTCCAAGTACAGCACAAACTACAGGAGCACCAGATGGGCCTCAGAGCTGGTGCTGCATTTTATTGCCTCCTTCGAGTGAAGGTGCAGGGTATACACCTCCTGTATCTGGCGAGAGTTCCTACGTTGCGGAGAGGCGGGGAAAACCCATTTCTTTAACTGAGTCAAGTGTCACTGAGCTTCAGGGAAACAAGAGAAATGCCAGTTTTCGGGGGTAATCCCGCGTTTACTGGGCCTCACTTAAGACGTGTCTGTCAGCTCATTTTTGTGCAGCAATGTTTGTTGACCATCAAACCTATAATTCAAAAGTAATTTGTAATTTGAGTAGAAGTTACTCGAAAGAAGTAATTAAAGTATACTACCTACCGAAATAAAAATGTAATTGAAAGTTGCTAAACTTTTGAGAAAAGTAGTTTAACTACGGTAAATTGAGTAGAGTAGTTGAACTATGTACAAGTCTGCGCGGAGGCTTGCGTGTGACGTCGATTTGAATGTCTAACGTCCTCGAAAGAATGCGGAGCGCAAGTTCGTCTGCTTCTTGCATAGGGGTTAAGATGACGTTTGAACGCCGACTTCTTATTAGAACTCGGCGTTCTTATTGAATCACCCTCATACTATCTATATCTTCAAAGGTTAGAAGTATATAAGAAAGCATAAGTAAGCGTCAAATAAGTTTTGCGCTAGTAAAATTATTGTTGAATTTTCGGGAAATATTCTATGCCTCATAATATGAACATAATTTTATTTACGAAAACAGGTATTCAAACTTTCGGTGTGCGCTCTGACGCAGCTAGATCACGATAAGGTGATCTGCATACCTTGTGTGTCGCTCTATTTATGTTTTCTTTACCTTGAAAACTTAAATTGTTTCAATGAGATGTGAAACAAGCCCACTTCCTTCTGCGTGGCGTAATTTAACAAAGTTGTAATTAAGCTACGGTACAAAGGGAATACCTCTAATTTCTATCATTATCTGTGCTGTATTTACTCCTTCGTTTTGCATAATGTTCCATCTAGTGATATACTGTATTCAACAAATTATGCATCCTTCTCCAAACAGAATGCGTAAATCAGTAGAGCTATTGCGAACGAGCCTAGAAATTATGTTAACACCAATGTCTATATTCCCTGAAACATTTAAAACTACAAAACAAAAAACGTGTAAACGACATTGAATAGTTTGCTTTAATCAACCAGTAGTCTTTTTCTATTTTTATTTTTTTCTACCTATATTTAGGGTGATTCAGAAACACCTGCAGCGATAGTGCAGCCGAGGAACTTCACCAAAAACATTCATGTATGTGCTTGATATGCAAAACAATGCGATTTTTTGTGACATTATTGTGGACCGAGATAATGAGTTTCTCTGATCGGTTATTCATATAATTTGTCATGTAATTATTTGGAATTCAGTTTTTTTAAATTTTTTTTTTAACTTCAGTCATCTATGCGAATTTCCACTAGTCTATGGCGCTTGTGTATTTTCATAACAGTTATACCCCGAATCTCTGCCCAAACTTTGAATTAATATTTCAAGTTCTCAACAGAACGCATAGTCTTCTTTATTTAATTCCACGGGCTAGGAGTACATATGTAGCCTGGCAGTCTACCTCCGAAGTGGGGCATCCGTTTCATCGAGGCATGGAAGGCTTTTCCTGGGCAGTCCCTGCAGTTTGCATCCGACTGGCCGTGTAGGGAGAATGTAGCTCTGATTTTCCCCTGGAAACCAGAGCGGCGAATACTAAAATCCGTGGATAGCAGCGAGCCGTCTGGCATGAGAGCGCGCAAAGGAAATAAGTGGAAAAATCTCTATCATTATTTATACTTGAAGTGTTGGCGTCACTTTGATCCTTTACATATAAAAGCTTCAGGGAACAAATATATACTTAAAAAAATAATGTACAGTAGCCCAATTTTTCTAATAATATTACGCGAGCGTCGACCGGCGCTGTGCCGCAGAGAAATTCAGCGTCGCGGGAGAGATTAGGCCCGTGCGCACAAAGCTCTTTTCGTTGCGAGCATCGTCTGCTAGGCTATACCGTTGACCGCACAAAGCCCCTGTTCATTAGGTCTGTTCGATTTGGCCAGAAAGTTCTGAACTAGTTCCGTCCGAGTTCAGACATTTGCAGGAGTCGTGCAGCGGTGGCGCAGAACCAGTGCAGCCGCCGCGCTAGGACTGGCGCTGTGGTCTGCTTTCTGAGCGGAAGCGCAAGGTGTCGTCTGCATCTGTTGGCTCTTGTTTCGCCACGCCACGTTGTATGCAACATTTAATTAGTCGAGGTTTGATGAGACTATTCGTGTTTCCTTAGTTTTAAAGTATAATAACGGAATCTGTTGTGTGATTCTTTTTATTCGCGTGTATTAAAAACGTATTCTGCACGAAATGTGTTTCTGTCTGCATTTTTAACGGCCGCTCAGTTCCTCTCGTTTCCATAAGCGTTCGCGTCCTTCACATTCATTTAGTAATAGTAGATTCATTCCAAGTCTCTCGAGTTCCGCATTTCGACGATAGGTTTGCGGCATCAGGATGATATTGCGTCGAGAGTCACTGCCGGCAGCGCGCGGTCGATAGCGGTCACCTCGAAGACGAAGGCCTGACGTTAGCGTTTTGGCCGATACAGTTATCGACCGTAACTTCGACGTCAAGCTTAAGCGTTTATGCTGATTCTCAAGAAAGGGCTGGATAGAACTACCAAGCCAATGCCGATTCTTGGCGTCGTTTTTCCTAGGCCCTTTAGTGGGCTTCCAGATAGCAGCGCGTAAAACATGCAGCATTATGCTCAGCCACGGGGCATGCGAGGGCCAATGTACTAAATCCCAGACCTCTGGAATGTATCGGAGTCGTCAGTATGCATCCAAGAGCAACTGAAGGCGGGGACTATCAAGAGCGCAATACCTTTCTTGTGTCGGTAAGGAAGAATATCAACACTGTGGATCCCCACATAGCATCAAAAAGAAACAATTTACGCGAGCCAGTATTTTAACACTTACCACGGGGAGCAAAACCTACACGAGCAGGTGCCTAAAACGCTTTCAGAATATCATAATTAATCAAATTCCTTATGGTCTCAATCCCTCGTCCACCGCGGGTACGTTATTATCATAAACGAAAGGAAATGCAACGTCCGTATCGGCGTTATTGTTCAACATCACAGACATTTGAACAAGAGCTGCGAAAAATGGCACCGCGAGCAGAGACGGACAAGGAGTGTCGTCTGCTATCGCCGTCTGCTCTTGTCGTCTGCTTCTGCACGGACGCTGAACTGACTCCGGAGCCGGTGCAAGATTTTGAGGAACTGGCTCTGAACTCGTTCAGAACTGGGGTGAATCGAACGCGCCAGTGCAGCGACCGTGCAACTTCCGGTTGAATCGAATGCACCAGTTCCTGCACTGGCCTATTATCTGCTGGTATATCTAACTTAAGCAAAGATCTGAAAAGCGCTTGCTTGCGTGATACTGCTCAGGCGTGGCATAAACCGCGCGTCATCTCGAGTTTAATTTACCTTATTTTCATTTCATGTTTGCGTTTACTTTTGTGAACACCAACAAAAATGAAAAAAGCGGTAATGCGACAAACTGAATGCAACGATGCATTAAACTATATACCGCAGACAATGCTGCTAGCCATCAAAACCAGTCCAGTGCTTTCTCCGTGCCACGTCACATCGTGCTACCCCGTGCAGTTGTACCCAACGGGAAGGCCACGTGACACACTTTTAGCGATAGACTGGCCAAGGTGGCTCGTAACGTCGGCTGCGGTACAACACAAAGTGAAACGGATTATCAGCGTTTCCGCTTGGTCTTTTGTATTATCAGCTGCGTTGTGGCTGTCGTCATCTAGCCTTTGTAGCCGGATAGTCACACTTTTCATTGACCAGTGGACGCCCGCACATTTTTATGCCTCCTCGAGTGCCCATAAAAACACGGGAACGTGTTGTCAGAATGTCCATGGGTGGCATGACGCAAAGGGATATAGCAACAACGGTTACAGGCTAAGGTAATAGGATTGTGAGCGGGTACACAGGCTAAGGTCAATAGGATTGTGAACGGATTTCATGAGAAGGGGCGTATCGGCGATGCACGTAGACATTGCAAGCGCCCTGCCCTCCTTTGCTACGGAGTAGGGGCTCTGTGCGATCAACGGAATAGCCTAGCAGACGACGCTCCCACCAGAAAGGGCTTTGTGCGCACGCAATTAATCTCTCCCGTGACGCCGCATGCCTCCGCAGCACGGCACTGGCTGTTCCGGCAGTCGACGCTCGCTTGAAATTATTAAAATATTGGGCCACTGTACACCCCCAAAAAAGAAACGTTATTTTTTTTAAATACGTATATTACCTTATACAAAAATACATTCTTCTTCGTTAAGGAAGAAAAGCTACACATCCATTGAAACTTTCTGTTTTGCATCTGAGTGGTACATTACATTTTAAATTGAAAACCAAACCTTCTAGGTGAGGTCGCTGTGGTAGAAACAAATTTTAGTATGAGTTTCTAATCCAGCAAGGTTTACATATTATCTACTAGATCAGAGATAAATTCATACATTACAAAGTGGAAAAACTTTTCTGTGTTTAATTACCATACTGATTTTCAAAACAATTTTATAGTGTTCTCTACATGGGGAGTTCCGATAAGAGAACTCACGTGGACAAATAATTTGAGTAGATAAAAAAGCTTCACTGCAGCACATGTTAAAAATGGCTTGTTTAAACATAAAGTAAAACATACCTCTGTCGAAAAATCACTGCGCCACGGACGTATCAAGAAATTTAATACAACAAAATATAGTTTTTTTTTATATATACTTTTGAATGTTTGCGAAGTGAGAACATCGTGCATACCAACTTAATGCCACATTGAATGAGGTTCTGGGCGGCCTGTAGCATAAGATCATTGGGAACTTGGCGTGAGTAGTCTCCGACGAAACCAAAAGACACGGACTTGTTGTTGAAGCCCACTGTGTGGGCTCCAATCTTATTCCAGCCACGGCCCACAAACACCATTCCGTTGCTCCCAATTATAAAGTTGTAGCCGATGTCATCCCATCCTGCGTGTCCCGCAGTGCCATGCAGCTCTCAGTTGCATGTATTTTCATTGACTACAAAATCCGCACATATCCTTATTGGGTCACATGTAGTCTTGTTACAGTATTTCTTCAATTATTTTCAACGTAGAATTCTATTTACTAGAACAGAGGGATATATGACACATTTACAGGAAATTCAATTTTAGTTCTAGTGGATTTTTTTTTTATTTTTTAAAAGTTATTTTAACGCTGTCTGTGCAAGTGAGTTATACGCCCAGGACATAATATAGGAGGCTCATTGTCGCAAAACGTCGGTTTATTCTCTGAAGATGGTTAATTCCCTTCTTAATATGTAAACAAAAACATATGGCTCCAATTACAAACTTGCGGAACGTCATCGCAAACCACTGAATAACTATATTGAAGCACTTCGTAAGTGGCCCGGGGGGGGGGGGGGGGGGGGGCGGGGGGGTTTGCTAAGTTTTTACACGTTCGCGCGTCCGAAACCACAGAGGATCAAATTTTAATGCGTGCTTTTAGAACCACAAACGTTGTACCTGTTGCACGACTAGAAACTTTAGCGCACCCTAGCTCACGCCTACCGCGTGCTTCCAATTTCTCTAGAATTGGCTGATTTATTGGTTTTCGATGACTCTTAGCGAGTTTTTCATTATAACTACGTGTTTCGTTTCACAAGCTCTAAAAGATGATGAACAAACTTTAGTTAATTATTCGACTTATCGTCACGATTAGCCCCCAATATAATGTCTCTCTGGGCGTATAACTCAACTGCACAACCCGCATCATTCTATCTTTTTGAAGATAAATCTGTTTCAAATTGGAATTAAACACTTATAAGCAGGTAATTTTTATCCAACGTTGTCCTTGTGCTTAAGCTACCTGGTGATCTTCTTCTACTTTGTGCTCTTGCAACAGAATAACGGGAAACAAACTACTATATTATGCAACAACCTTCTTGACATGAGAAACGAAAATTATTATATGACTTATCCAGTAAACATATCGAAATTCACATAAGCAATTTCATGTGTATACATATAGGTTCTTATCAAAGCAATATTGACCTTATATGGTTGAGATCTGTGGCAATCGCAGAAATCAGGACGAAAACGTTTCGAATCCTGGCACGTCCCTCGTCACTTTAGCTAAAAAATACCGGGTAACGACAACATTTGCCGATTAATCTTACCTGTATTGACGAAGGGCCTACAAGGTTCAGGAACGTTTTCTTCCTGATTTCTGCGGCCGCCGCAGAAGACCCGAATCATCTATAGTCGGTGACAGGTTAAGTATGAAGTGGAAGCTCCTCTTACGTCTTACCACTTAGGCAGAGTTAACACCGGAAAGGAGGCGCTTTACTCTCCAGCGTTCGCTCTGCTTGAGTGGAAGAAGTGAGAGGAGCTTCCATATCACTCTTAACATCTCACCGACTATAGGGGCAAGATTGTTGTGATATTTGTAATCTCAAGTGCTTGTTTTTTTTAACCATTGCATCTTACAGCTTCCTATATTATATTTTATGTCTTGAAATGGTTATTAGATACATCTATAATTTTACTAGGGCAGCGAGTAATCTGTTTATCACGTGGGAACATAAAACGAAACCAGCTGAGTTTATCAAAAAAGTGGACAATAAAATATTTAATTATGCGAGAGTAATCAAGTAACTAGAGAAGCGCTTAAAGAGAAAACGATATTGTACTAATAGTTTTGACTGTTAAGCGTGAAACAATGTTGACTACCTTGCCCAAAATGAAATGCCTCGATTATTGCAATAATATTAATTAGGATTGCGGTACCCTAGGATATAAATACTTCCAGCTAAATTTCGTGTTTCTCTTGAAATTCCTATAAGAAGAATCAGAAGGTACGAGCTTAAAATATTTTTCACTGAGCTCACCTTGAGTTTTCTGGTGCACTAACTGCCATTTCAAAATTATTTGGGAACATGTTTTATTAGAAAAACACTGTTCTCGTCCAGTGTGATGATAAAACACATAAGAAACGCCACCATTTACGCGGAGATAGTTTTCAGCCTTGGGCGGTCTTGCGCCCCACTCTTTTCGAAGCACGTGCGATATCTTTTTGCAAACGTCCAATTCCCAATCCTCGAGACCGTAGTAATCGGACTTGGGTTTTCCGTGAGTATGAGTCCGTCTGGAGCCTCGTGGTAGAAATGTATGCTCCCAAAGTTTACCTGTTGATAAAAGAAAAAATAATATCGGTGAATTTCATAATTAAACAACATGAATTTTGCCACTCGTCTCCTCATATTCAGATGGCATCATAAATATAGCCGTTATTCCTGAGCAGTAGGGGGAACTTTATGTAGGGGTGTCTAATGTTTTCTACCTTCGTGTATGAAGTATCGGCGAAGAGATCCATTTATTGGTGGCTTTTGTTCAGCTTGTTTTCCCAGAGCTCGGTGTTCATCCAGAAGGCCTGTGAACTGGAGTCTCACCATACCCTCGATTGGGCGCTGGGCACATATTGGGCATGAACGCTAGCCTAAGACACGGCTACGTCAGCTGTGTCCTGCGTCAGAATAACAAACGAATATTTCATGTTGTTGTCGACCCGACGAGCATAGTTCTCAGGTTATCCACTAGGGGCGTGATAGTTGAAACGCTTCCCCGATAGACTACAAAATAAAAGGGAGCTTAAAACATCCTCCTTTTCCCCCGCTTCCAACGGTGAATACGAAAGGATTTGAAGGTTTGTCTTCAGAAGATGCCGCCTGAGAACGGACTGTGGTTCTCAAAGTTGACAGGCCTTATCAAAACGTTCAGCTTATCATCCACCTACCTCCGCCATAAATTAGATTATAACCTTGACGTGAAAAACAAGGTCTGGACCGAAAAGACACGCATCCTTAGAGCATATAACACTAGCCAATGGCATAGAATGTTAGCCAGCCAGTGTCATGCGCCACCACCTTGTGTGTTGGACAGTCTGTTAACCTACCACCAAATAGAGCAAGCGGGAGTTCCCGTTTGTTCTTTTTGTTGTCTGTTTCTTCCCTCAGCTCGACGGTTAGTCCTAATTAATCATGTGACTCCATGGAAGGTACGACTCATCCCTCCTCTCTGTGCGCGTCGGTCTAGCCACGCTTGACGCCGCAACACTGTAATACTTAATAACCAACATAGAATCCATGACTTCATGCAACGCGACGTGGTCACCTGACTCGATGTCATGGTGTCAACTTGTAGTGGCGCGTGATAGCACATGGGGTCATTTCACGTGACATTAATTCCATTGGTTATTGATATTAATCTGAATTTAAAAAAATTAGATTAATATCAGTAACCAGTACCTTCTTAAGTCACCCAAAAGTTTTTTAATGTTATAAAAACAAATTTTAAAAATCGCTACTTAAATACTGCATTACATACATCTCCTATGACTTCGGAGATAAAGGTCGTCATACTGTATTGACCGATTTTTCTGAAAATTTTTTGGTGTTGAAAATGGGATTCCCACGACTCCAAGTCACGACGATTCATATTGGGTCCTTTCAATGACGGAATTTTGTGTCTTGTAAGGTGTGTTTTGCTATTCATTTATTTAGACGATCCTTAATGACACGGGCTCACGTGTTCTTATGTGCCTGACGTACGGTGCCACCGCTTATTTAGTGGGCTTCGTTGAAAGGATGTATGCAAATAATTTTTTTAAGCAGTCTGGTTGGAAAAAGTATGAAAAAAATTAATTCACAACCCAAAAAGGTTTTCGAGCTTTATTTACGGCGCCAAACGAATTTCTAGTTGGCGCCTGCAGGAGCCCACGGAAAAGGGGCTACTGACTGGCCACTAGTCACGTGGTACACGTGTGTGCCACCACCGCCGAACGTTGCGTCAGAGCCGTTCAGCGTCACCGCTGAAGTACCTACCCAGAACCCATACGCCGCCGCTGCCGCTGTACCCTGAGTGTAACGCGCCGCCGGCTGAAAGCGTTCTTTATATATATATATATATATATATATATATATATATATATATATATATATATATATATATATATATATAAATATATATATATATATATAAGCAGACAGTAATTTCAAGTATGGTTTCAAATAAAAAAGAAGAAAGAAAAACCTTTACGAATCCTTTCCAGTCAAAAAAAATATTCTGAAAAATTAATCAACATCATCATTACATAACGTCTTTTCTCCACGCCCCAAGGGAGTACTTGGGCGCGCCGCAGCCGTCAGTTTCTGAACTGCGCACATGTCTATCACGTGCTGCTTGCGCTCCTTTGGGAGCTTCCTATGTGCTCTAGAAGTTGCTAATTAATCCTCGCTTTCTTTTGCACTCAAAACGAAGATTAGTAAGCAACTTTTAGAGGCCGTAATAAGCTCCCAAAATAGCGCAAGTACACACGTACTTGCGCTCAAGTACGTAATTGCATGACGTTTAACACCTGGAACTATGGTGCAGAAGAGGAAAAAAACTTTTAGTTAAAGCAACAGACACGGGAGGGAACGTTCACTTTTGTGTCTGTTCAACGCTGTTTCAAATTCACCCTAGCGAAAAACCTCGATGTCGCTGATGCACGCACGTTGGTTGATCAATGGACGGGGGAAGTATATGACGCAAGGTGATAGTTGCTAACTGAAGGCGGCCAAGTCATATCTTCGCCTTCTTGTATACATAGTGCTCGCTTTTTTCCAGTGGTGAACTATTGATGGCAGCTTAGTGTAAATATGATGGCTCCGTTTTTGGCGAAATGTAAGTGAGATGGCACCTTTGTGAAAGTTTGATGGCTGCGTGCATAGCATTTATAAGCATGACAGCAAGTTACAGAAACCGTCTTGATTCTGTGTATGACGATGATAGTGTATGATGGGTCTTGTTGGAAGTTAATAAGTTGCCTGTTTGTTTCCGCTAATTTTTTTCAAACGTGACTGTTGCATACTCGCGAATTTCGTAAAGACAGGTATTAAAACAAAATTTATTTGTGCTATTAGATTCTGCGACAATTTTTAATAATGTTAATTTGAATGCGGAGAGAGCTTGGCAAATTGTGTACGCACACATTAGGATTGACATGATCACGTGCGGGTTTCAGGCAATCTTCTCAAGCACCCTTCTATAAAAAGACGGCCGTGAGGCTTCTGCAGCTGAAGGTTTCAGGAGTGCGATGGTCTGCGATGATTTTTATTGCATCCTTATTATTTTCCGAACGACGAAAATAATCGCTGGACAAGGGCGTTTCATTTTTTCACGCCATAGAGGCAAAAAAAAAAGAGAACGGCAGTTCCGCATGTTGCTTGTACAACTACATAAGGCAGTGTCGTTGAGTGCCCTGTAAAAATAATTGTTTTGCTGGAGCTCTTCCTCAAGCACGCCTACATCGTTGTTCTGACGCGCGCTTAATATAATCAAGCTTGTCATGGTTAGGATTCTTGAGAAACCTTCAGTACTTTATTACGTTATAAATGCAACCAGAATCGTTTCTAATTTGTTTCTGATTGCGCGTTTTCTGTGAACAAGTTACACTGGACAAGTGAAGAGCTAGCATAGTAGCCAAATCTAAATTGTAAAAATAAATTATTATTTTAAATCCTGGCACAATCAAGGCATGCTCACCAAGAGGAAAGACATCATATTTACTAAATTATACGCATTTTAGGTGCTATACAAATGTCTCACATTTACTACGATCACAATTATTAAAAGTCAGGTATATTTGACTTGCCAAATAAGAAATATCTATAATCTATTTTATTTATTTGTCTATATTTCCAGCTTCAATATAAACTCCAAGGCAGGAAGCAGGCAACACCACAATGCCCAAAAAAGACAAAAAGTAAAACAAAACAATACATTGCCTGCATATCTCCTCAGAGCCTTGCTTAACTAGCGCGTCTTTTGTATTGACACTCTCGGCAGTAAATGCAGGCGTTATTCTCGTATTACCTTCTTTTGTAATCTATATACATCTTAGGATAATAAAAAAAAACTGACCATGTCAACTTGTAAAAAACGCTACTGAATGCATTTCCCCAAAAATTAAACTAGGAGATTCACAGAAGACAAAGTCAAGGAGCATCGTCTACATTTTGCAAGCAGCAGAGAAGTTCTAAGAATCACGAAGGGCCACTTAATACTCGCGCTGACATTGGACCATCTTTATTATAAAGTCAGTCAATACATGAAAACAACATTCTTAAATACCCGGATTCATAGAAGGAGTGAAAATGCCTTTAAGTCAAATTCCAGCAGGTGTTACAGGTTCATGGGGACGATTAATACAAGCAAAAAGGAGAATGAACGTTGTCTCAACAGAACCATGAAAATGAAAAGACAAGCCGAATAAAATATTTAAAAATATGGTTACAAACAAATCAGTTTTCACGAGCGTAAAAAAAATAATAATACGCGATATTAGAGTGAAACTTACGTCCTGTTATTGCAGCCGACGCCGTTGATGCATCCTTACCCGATGCCGTTTCGAAGACGAGCAGGACGGACGTGAGCACAGCTGCGCTAATGCTGCTCATCTCTTTTTTGAGAACTACTCCCAGTTCTCTCAGGCTAGAGCATTGATTTCAATTGCGGCGGAAAAATATCATCCTTCTTGTATAGAAAGGGAATTCCACTTAATAAGTGAAAGGAAAAACAAAATCACGTGATCTAGCTATGTATTTTTTGTGCTTACGATAAATGCATAAAAAGAAGAGTACTGAGCACAGAGTCGATATAAGAAAAAAATAAAAGGGCGAATCCGCACATTACTACATACAAGCCCACTGAGGATGGGCTTTCAAGAAAGATGGCTACATCCGCAACGTAAGGCGCGGAGCACCACAGATGGCTCTGGTATTTGTCTCGTCTGCAGCGTTTGCCTTCCATCGACAAAAAAAGGCGCAGTTCACAATATACGTGGGGTTTTTCAGAAGTACTGAGGGCGTCATCGTCGGAATTAGAAGCCCACCACTTTCTACTTTGATGGACGCGCGATCTTTTGATCGCTCATAGCGATCGAGATTGTCGTTGTTTCGTGTCAGCGAACACAGTCGGCACACAGGATGGGGTGATCTTTGTACAGCGATGGTTTTCCTGTGTAATAAATCGGCGATGTAACAACCGCGCAACTATGTAGGCTATTTTTTTAGGTGCGGTAAAAGTGATTGACCTGTTACTAAGTGAGACATGGAATTCTGTAACCGTCATTTTTTTTGCGGGCTCTATATTTCGTACATTGTGGAATGTACGAAATGGCGGCCTTGTTTTCCGTAATCCGGCCTGGCAGCACGCGCGTTTTGCACACTTGAACCGGAAAGTGGGAAAAGGGTGGATTAGATTCGTTGCCAGTAGTGAGAAGGAGCCAGAAGTGTGTAGTGCAAGAGCACGCCTGACGAGCACGAGATCATTCAACTGTTTTAAGATAAAATTAAGGGTGAAGGAGTTCACTTAAAATTAGATATGAGGGCACACGCATAGTGTAGCGTGTGAAATTAACGTAGCGTTGTCGAGTAAAGTTAGCTGGCACACTTTCCTGCAGTCGTTTCGAAGACCAGGAGGGCAAACGCCAGCACAGCTGTTCTGTTTTTCATGTCTCTATAGACCCTTCCACTAGGAAGAGCGGAGAGCGAAAAAATGCCGCCCCCCGCCCCCCCCTCTCACCTAGCGCGTCGTCTGCTCCGCCGAGTGGGCTGTACCTAACATCCGGCTGACGTTCAAACTCGGTTAAAAATCGCTTCATCGTAGAATTTTCAAGCGCAGATGCACACATTTTGATATGCAAGTTTTCGTGTAATGCTGTGCTGGATAAAAAGACTAACCGGGTCCAAATGCGCTGTTACCAGCGTGCAAAAAAATGGAAAGATGTGTAGAGTGGCCGGTCTCTCCGGCGAAAAGTAAACCTGGTTGCTATAACTTTTAGAGCGCAGCTCTTAGGGGCCCGTTTCCAGCCTGAGCGGCGTCGCCGTCGCCGTCGGCGTCGCCGTCGGCGTAACCGCGCCCCTCCCTCTCCTCCTCCTCCCCTCCTCCTCCTTCCCCTCCTCCTCCTCCCCTCCACCCCCTCCCCCTCCTCCTCCTCCCCCTCCTCCTCCTCCCCCTCCTTCTCCTCCTCCTCCCCTCAATGTGTAGTATGGTCCGGGCGAGTCACGTGACCTCGGGGGGAGGGGGTCACATGACCCGTTTCCAGCCTGTGCGGCGTCGGCGTCGGCGTTGGCGTCGGCGTCGGCGTCGCCCCTCCTCCTCCTCCTCCTCCCCCCCTCCTCCCCCGCCAAGGTCACGTGACCCCGGGGGGTGACTCCCCTCCCCCCGCCGGTCACGTGACGGCCCGCCCAAGTTCATGTGATCCCATCCCCTCGAGGTCACGTGACCCCCCGGACCTCTGCCCTCCTCCTCCCCCTCCTCCTCCTCCCCTCATTGTCTAGTATGGTCCGGGGAGGGTCACGTGACCTCGGGGGGAGGGGTAAAGGAGAGGGAGGGGGAGCAGGAGGGGAGGAGGACTAGCAGGCATGATCACGAGGGAGGAGGAGGAATATACCCTCCACTCCTCCTCCTCAAGAGCTGCGCTCCAATTCGGCGTTAAAAAAAGTAAATCTGGTTGCTATAACTTTTTTTACTATAAAACGTTCGTACTGGGGTAGGCCTTTAGCGGCCATGAGTGGAAGTCTGGAATGAGAAATGAAAAACGTGCTCTCCTGGTGCAATAGACGAGGCGGTTGAGGGTAGTACCGCCGGCTGACTCGACTGCTATTGAAGTAACGAAACAAAGATATGCTAGTTGATCATTTGCTGAAATAAAACAACAGGCTGCTATAGACTGATTTTGGAGTGGCCTTGAATATTCTAAGAACGCAAAACACTTGACAACGGCAGCCACGAGCGAGAGTTCGATGTTCGGTACAGCCCGCCGGTACAGTGCAGAGATGGAGAACGGCAAATCTTCCCGGTGTGTCGTAGCGGAGTCGAGCGTGTGCCCTCTCTCTCGTTTTACCCCGCCGACCCTGCTGAACTTCCCGCATTTGCGGAGAGGGCGCTGCGGTCGAACAAAATGGCGCCGCCCTGAGAGCGCTAAATGGAATGGTCCATAAAAACAATCCTTTCCGGATGTTTTTTTGTTTTGTTTTTTTCTGTTGAGCGCATTTACTTCAACTGCAGCGCTAAACCAGCATTTGTGAAGTATAAAAAAGAAAGTTCCTTCAAAAGAAACTGTCACCTGGTCTACATCGTTATACGCTAGCTTTCCGAGTTTTCAGTAAATACCGATAAACCCCTAAAATTAACCACCGAGACGGCCTTATAAACATCTGGGCAAACAGAAAAACCCCGAATCGGAGCTCTCTTTTTTGCTAAGAAAACACTCAAGCGTCACGGGAAGAAAATTCCGATCTACAGTTGCATTTTTCGTCGACCAGGAACAGAGCCCGTACTGAACTGTCCGCGAAACTACGTGCGTGAAAAGCGTCTCCGACTGCTGTGTTCAGAGTCCTATTCCGTCCCTGCATCAAACGTGGTTCCATATAGTTCCAACAAATGACGTCACAGAAGCTGGCGTATTATACTGTCAGATGTCGCGATCCTGACGGTTGCTCGCAGAGGTTCCGCTAAAAAGCATGCCCAAACAAACGCGAGTGTTTCTGTCGTCACGGCGTCTCAACTCCTGGCTCCCGAAGTTTCCGTGGCCTGTCAAGCTGGAGAGCGACCTGCAGCAGAACAGGCGTCTGTCACATCCACCACCTCTGCTAAAATACCGCCAGCATTGCGGCCGGCGATAGCGTGACACGTGTATGACGTCATCAGGAGAGAAAGCGAGGGAGCAGTTTTAGGACGCGGAAAACCGCCAGTCGAAACGCGTTCTAGCCACCATAGCGAAATTACTTCTTTCTTGGGAACCACATTCCATTTCTCGTTTCCTTCTCTTATCGGTACCGCGACGTTTTTTTAAGCGTTTGGGACATGCCCACGTTCTCTTGTTTTCTTCAACATAATCACCGACAAACACAGATTTTTTCTTCGACACCAAAAATCGCCACAAAGCCACCAAATCGAGCTGCGGGACAAAAGACACCCCGAAAAATTGCTGCCAAATTTAGTGAGAAATAAACCCCGAAAACACTGAACACCTGTTCCTATTCAAAGATTACAACGAGACGCTGGAGTATACGTTTGCTTCGCAGCGACCAGGCACAAAAAAAAAGAAAAAAGAAACAACCCTCGAGTGCGTAGAAACAGTTACATCATCGAGATGTCCCAAGAAAAAAAACAAATATCGAAGAAAACTTAATTGACGCTTTTCGATCAGGAACTTCACGCAAGTCTCAAATCGCTGTCAGACGGCGCGTGGCCTAGGTCCTTTATGAACATGTTCCTAATTTGTACTCTTTTACTTGTGTAGTCAAGTAAAAGTACGCTTCAAGTACTCTGTAGATATACGTGCAACATCTGGTGGGTGCTCGGACGGCACTGCCAGTACAAAATTGAAATACTCGACCCCCGGCGGATACTCAGCCGACGCTCTAAGTACTCTATAGATATACGCACGATATCCAGCAGGTGCTCAGACGACACGCCAGCTCGATTGACATACGCGATACCCGGTAGATACTCAGCCGACGCTCCAAGTACTTTATGGATATACCGGCGATATCCGGCGGGTACTCCTAGGACCCGATTGACCTGGGATTAACACGCGATGTCCGGCGTGCACTCAGCCGACGCTGCTAGTATTCTTTCGATATACTCGGCGTCCGGTGGGTACTCAGCCTGACGGTGGCGGTACTCCAGTGATATTGTGCTGGTACTCTTCCACTTTTGAAACGATATTCTCCAGACATCGTGTGGATGGGAATAACCATACATTCTGAGTATTTGCCAACAATATTGTGTAGATACTCGCCTAATATTCTTGTGCCACTTGGGCTGTTTACCCTGGCCATTAATGACCAAGGAAATTGATTGGTCAGCCAGGAAAGACGTTCCCTGGTAGTTCCGTGGCTTTCTGAAGCAAGGAAAGACCGTGAAACGCCAGGCTGGTATACAGACGTAAATGGCTGAGCAGTCGTGGTTAAGTTATCACAACTAAGAGCCAATCCTGGCCAGAGCTAAACCAAGCAAGTGTGCTACCTGGGTGGTGACCCTTTGTCGCGCAGTTGTAGTTTTTGGTGTGATGCGTTGGTGAAAACAGGAGTCGATCCGCTCTACCGTATATCCTGAGCTCAGAAGCCTTTAAAGTTTGGGTGTCGATGATTTCGGTTCGCGGGATGCTGACATTATTTACTATTTGCGAAAAGAGTAGGGCCTTGATCACCCCTAGTTTAAACGACTTAAAGTGGAAACTTTTAAACGGAAGAACCGGCTATTTTGACCGCTGTTGGAAAGTCCAGCGAACATCTTCCGTCGTGTTTGTCAGTCGTACCGAAACACCTACGCCAGAGCCGGCGGAAGCCATCGCGCTATCACAAATACAAGAAATGAGGAAGAAGCGAACAATGCGGACCTCTTCCTTATAAATGATTTCGACCATCCTACTAGATTTGGTCTCCAT